GGACGGTCGCTTTTACAATACTAATCCGCTAACGTGGGCATTGATTAAAGCGTTCAGATTTAGAATCGTTTAAGATCTTATACACGTTAATTATAAAGGCACTTAAAATTGAATATACAAAATATCAATGAAAAGGTAACAGACTAACAAACAGATTGATACTGGTATTTATAATGCTATTCTAGCATAGACCTAGTTTTTCTACCTTTACTTGATTTTTTATGTGCAGTGGGTATATTATGTAATAATGAGAAAAAATTTGACGAACTAATTTACTATGAGATGTATACTAGTTCTACTGTTTAGTTAATCATGTAAGAATCCGATTGTTTGGGAGTAAATAATTTTATTCTAAATTGGATTCAGTGAAATATTACTGATAAATTCAAATTAGAATCGAATATCAAATAACTACTTATGTAAGAGATACAAGTTTTACTAAGATAATTCTTAAAAATCAGTATTTTGATTCTTAAAAGAAAGAATTTGTATAACGAAGTAATGAACTAAAGAGTAAGGAAAATCCTTTTTCTTTAATTTGTTTATATCATAATATCGTTGTCGTCATCGGACTATTGTAGCCCAATTCTGAGCAAATGCATCTTCTCACACGGAGAAGGTTTGAGCATTAGTTACCACGCTTGCTCAAGACGGGTTAGTTATTTCAAGCTCATTATTTAAAATTATAAGTCCAGGTTTCCTCACGATGTTTGCCTTTGCCGTCTGTCAGCGGTGTGTAAATACTATTAGACACCGCGAACAGATTATTTAATAATCTATCCTTTACTATGCCTACTTTACTATTCCTTCGACCGTAGGTCAGGAACTACATTGAAAAAATTGAACCACCTCTTTTATTGATGCTTCAGGGACATAAAAAAACTCGGATTATTTATTACTTAGGTAATTTAGATGTAAGCCAGGTTTGTATCATAATTAGTACTTTATAAATATATCATATCTTATTAACACTAACCTACTATAAAATCTATGAATATATTTTAATAAATCCATTTAAAGTAAAACCACTGTTATCAACCTATTGATATCAACCTATTCACCAAAAATAAAATAATTTCAAATTGATTACTATATTTGAAAAAATACTCATTAGAAAACAGATATATCTAATAGGAGAAGTATTATAATTCTAAGTTGAATTTGTTCTAGTTTAATTGTATGAATAAATTAAAATTATGGTATTATAGCCATTGTCTCATTTATTTTTAGTTATTATCTAGTTTGATGTTAAAGCATTTATACATATTACATATTACACAAAATGGCTTTAAATGAATTCAATACGTGTATAAATCCACTAGTACATTAACAAATCCATGGACTGGTAACTAAAACAAATTGATGAGTAAATTTAAACAATAGCATTGAATCAGGACACGATATTGCAATAACATTATGATTAACCTATGCAAATATTATTTCATGATCAGTCCTCTGTTGACGATTATATTTATACGGACGTCAAAACAAGCTCTTATATTTAGTCTATTATGTTTTGTTCATTTCACGAAAATGTTTTAATACACTTAACAGTAACTGCCATTATAGGTTTTATTACTTGCCTTTCCAAATAAGAATATTTTACGCAAGTAAGAAAAAATCATTATTAAATTTGAACAATACTTAAATAAAACAAAAATATTGAAGTGGATCATTTTTTACAACCATTGCTATTTCAATACATGTTTGACAAACAATTTATTCGTCGCAATGGAATTCGAAGTATATTAAATAGATTGAAGCGAACTTCAACAATCTAAAAAAATTCTATCAATACAAAATCCTATAAAAATACTGTCATAATACAAGAGTGGTATAGAAAGTATAAATAAAAAAAATGTTCCGATTACAGTCAATATATACGATCAACTTTTATGATACTAATACGTCGTTGATTACTTGTTTATACATATGTAGTATATGCAATAAAGCAAACAGCACCAAATGAAATAAGTACAGAATAATGGACTTTATAATATTTTCCTGTTTATCGTTCTAATATTAAATTTTTCCTGGATTGTTATTTTATAATATTAAAAGTATGTATACAGTATTATAATATAATTATATATCGTTAGTCTGTTTCCCTAGCATTTGTACTAATAAATTAATGTACCAATTAATAACTGTTAATTGTTAACCTCTCAGGCAAATGTATGATTAAATCAGCAACATTAGTGTGTAATTAATTACATGATCGTCCATGTTTAAGTTCATTACAAATATTAACATTAATTACAAAATAATAATAATAAATTATTTTATTTACATCACAGAACCCAGTTATGGAAATTAAAAAATATTCTATTTAAATTTATTTGTTTATAAAATGAATCGGGGTACAATCATTTTGTTAACTAGCATAAGCTTCGATTCTAACTTGAAGAGACAAAAGTGACAAGAGCGACAAGAAAACTTTGTCTAACAATGTCTTTTAGTTTTTAATTAACCTGCAAAGAGCAGATAATCATTTTTTATACTTTATGTTATCTCATAACAACTGTTTGATGAACCGATTTTACATGAAACCTCCTTATTCAATAAATTATGATCATATATTATTCAATACTTTGCTTAATAAAAGTGGACTGTAAGTATAAATATGGATGTTACGTATATACTTAACTATAGCACATAATATATTCATGGAAGTTATTAAGTTAGACTTATATTGAGCGTTTCAAACTGACTATGATATTGAGACATATTTATACCTTTAACAAATTTTTTGAGGATGGTATAGTTCAGTCAGTAATGGATCTTCTGAATCATCACAACTAATTATTTTAAACAAAAGTATATTTTCTTAATTAGGAGTAAAAGAAAGAAAGCTGACATAAATTTTATTTATATGTATGTCACACGAGACAGTTAATTAATTTTAGTTGTCTCTGAAATGTCTTAAGAAATAAGGCTTAACAGTTTATCTGGTTCTTTCATAAAGATCTCATATAGTTAATTAATGCAGAGATGCTAAGATCTCTAATAAAATTCTTAATGCGCCCTTGTTTTATAGTTCAGTTAAGTAAATGAACACTTGTTACGTTGTAATTAAAAATTATTATTCTTAGCTTTATAGCTAGAAAACTTTACTTAATAAGAGATATATATGACTCAATCCTGTTAATTTATTTTCTTCTAATACATATAATAAAAACATTAAAAATTATCTTACAATGTAAGCAATTTTAAAAATTGTAAAAATTCTTCCTGTATTGATCAAATGGAACATATTAAAATAATGGGATCGATAAAGAATGCTTACTTTATCATACTAACCTTTCATTTATAATATATTTTTATTTAAATTTTAAATAGTGCTCCACTTGAGAAATCGCTGTTTAGCACCTTTGTAGTACGTGTCATCTTGTAATACTTTATAATGTTTTCACTTTGACAATTACTATAATAGAGTATTTCGTTCACTGCAAACTTAACGAGATCGTAAAATGATGTAGATATTTAGAATTTGTCTAAGTTCAATAAAAGGTCAAGAAATTTGACTTAGAAAAGGGACGATGAAGTTTGTTTAAATTGTATTTATTTTTAGATCTTTACTTCTATTGAGAATAGTAAGTGCTTCTGTAATTGGTGTATTGAAAACTTAGTTATAATTGATTTGTAGTACAATTATTGTAATTGCAAAATTTTCTTAAGACTTGCTTTTTTAAATAACAGATGTAAAAAAGAAATAACTCAAAAAACAAAATTTTATTATTAATAAATCGATTTGTTCTTAGGTACGACTATAAAAAAGTGTGATTATACTCTTAAATTATTTACTTATTACTTAATATAAATTATTCATATTGAAATAAGAGTTTTCAAAATTATAGTTCGATTGAAAAAACTTTAGTAGTAGCCTTGATATAAGGCGATAAGAAATGATCGATTCTTAATAAAATATATAAAATATAGAAACTAATCTCAAAATGCTATAAAATGTTTTTTCTCTGTGAACTTGCCATCCATACCGTTATCGTTAAATTAAATATATAAGATCAAATATTTATTCTTTATTTAAAAGCTTTGAAGCATATAAATATTAATCGAATATAATGTTAAATAAATTTACAAAGTCCTATTTCTTTAGTAAAATTGTATTTTATGTAATTAATCTTAATTAGGCCTTGCTTTGACCGTCAAAAGTACAAATGAAAGACATAATGAGTATCAAAACGTCAGTATAATTTTATTATGGCTCCAAGATATCTTTGTACATTTTATACAAAACCATAATTCTTATTAAGACTAATAATTAATTACAATTCAAAAATTACATTTATTTGCAAATTCATAATTATTAAATCTAATATCACGATTTAGCTTAGTTATAATATAAGATTTAAGCAATAATTCTAAAGGATAACATCGAAAACATAGTTTTTATTATACATTTATAATAAAAGCCTCGAATATATGCTAATAATACATTGATAAAGTGTCAGTATACACAAACAATAATTTATACATATATGAAAAAAGAAACAAGTATTTATATAATTCAAGAAAAAAATAATTAATACTTAAATAAAAAACTTATCACATATGAAGTACAATGACTAAAAACAATGAGCCTTTATTTTATCATAAAAGCATTTACATATAAATAATTGTAAATATGAATTTACAAACATTGTCTTACACTATTTGGTGTTGGTTTACAGTGACTGCAATGTGAAAATATTTCACACTTATAATATTTATAAATAGGTACATATAATATTTATTACACTTGAAAAATGCTTTGTTCAGACTTAACATTTTCACATCAACTTTGTACAAAATATTTATTTTATCAATCATTACGTAATATAATTTATATAAAGGTCATTTTACGTATGTGAAATTGACCAAATTTAATTTCATAAGAAAATTTTATACAAATTAATTGTGATTTATAATCCAAATGTGCTAGTAAATGTAAGCGAGGAATTTAAAGGAACAATTAAAATGCAAGAATTTTAATCCGATATATATTATACAAAGTAAGTGCGACCTTTAGCTACGGTGTTCGTATTTGATCGAGGTACGGTTGGAGATATATCCTCCACTCTGGAATAGACATGACCACTACTCGGGGAGAGCCTTAGGTCATAATTAAACCGGGGACATGTCCTATTATCAATCGACATGTAACTATTGTTCGAATTATTCCCTTCCCCATACGTGTTGTCGGAGGAGGGAGAACTTTCATTCTGTGATATTGCCCCATCATTTCTTTTACAATATTGCAAGGAATTTGAAAAATTCTGCATTGAGCAACTGACATTTGTTACTGGCATTGTAGTATATCTTAATGTTGGCGTTTGCCGCAAGGTTTTCTTGAATACACTTCTTCCAGAGCTCTTTACTGTGATAATAGTATCAGTAGAATTAAGAAGTGCGACAAATCTATCCCAGAACCGGGGGTCATTCCACGATACATTTTTAAACTTATCTAGTACAAAACAGAGCTCATCATTTATTTGGTTATTATCAACAATTTTTATGAATAATACTTTATTTATATCACTCCTATTTAATGATTTTAAAAAACTATAAAACATATTTTTGAAATGAAAATCACATAAATCGTTACAAATAAAATTCGTTGTTAAAACAATTAGTAACCGCTTAGACAATTTTGAAGATTTCGAAAAACTATCTAAAGTCAAAATGTTCAGTGTGGATTCATTTAATGTCAATTTTTTAGCTGACATCTTCCTAAATTCTATTTCAGACAATATATTGTTGTAAATGAATTGAGTGTCTTTGGTATTGCATATCACATAGTAGTCATGCATGTGATTTGGATTTCCATCTAGTACATGTTCAACATTAGGACATGACTGTTCTTTAAATAAAGGAATGCCAAAATTAGTGTACAACCAATCACTAACTTCAAATCTAAAAGCGTAAAATACAGCACCTATTAGGCAAACAACTACTATTATTATGATAGAACCGCATACAATAGCGAAATAATTGTCAGGTAAAAACAATGACTTAGAAACGATTTCGTTTTTAGAGACAGTCGGATCATTTATAGAACCAAGATATTCTTTGCAATGACTTAAGAGAGATGCAATTGTGATTTTCGTTGGCTTTCCTTTGTTATCAGTACATAACATTTTTTCTGGATCTCCAGGGTCCTTTCTCAGCCAAGTATCTAACTCAGCAATACTTTTACAATCACAAGAATATTGATTACCCTCTATTGAAACATGAGCTAAACTTTTTGAAGACGAAGCTAGCAATTTCCATGGAAAGAAGTTAACAAGTTTGTTATCGTCAATTCGAAGAACTGATAAAGATTTTAATGAAGAAAACGTATTATTTGCTACGTGTACTATGGCATTATGGTCTAAGTACAATTCGTTAAGATTATTCAGATGCAAAAATTCATCCCCTTTAAGTTCTACTAATTTATTGTTTTCTAAATGCAGTACCCTCAGTGAATCTACTCCCTTGAATGTTTGATTATTAACTTCTTTCAATTTTGTATTATTTAAATATAATACTTGCAACTTCTTTTTGCCAATAAAAATGTGATTTCCCAAATAACTTATATCATTGCCATCTAAATATATTTCAGTTGCATCCATAGGTATTCTATCTGGCACTTGTGTGTAACCAGCATTCGAACAATCAACAACATTAGCGTTCCACGTTATATCATGATAACATCTACAGTTATTAGGACAAATCATTTCACAATCACAAGCAAAGAAATCACAACAATGACAAAGAGCAAAGCAATGGCTTTCATATGGACATAGAAAATCGGAAGGGGACATATCTATGATCATTTTTTTTTCTTTGGCTCGCGAATGAACCAAGGTACAAAACGTTTTATCAAGGTCCAACACACGCGGGTATTGTCGACTATGACTTAAATAATTGATCCGTTGAATCCATTCCATTGAACAGTCGCAAACAAAAGGATTTCCGCTTATGAAAAATTCAGGCAAGTCACTATCTTCATCTATCTGATCTAGCCTTAAAGCATTCATGTCGAGTTGAACTATTTTATTATTATTTAATGAAACGGTTGACAATCTTTTCAATTTGGAAAAGGTTCCAACTTGTATGTACGCAATGTTATTATTATTCAAGTATAATTTTTCAATAGAAGTAGGTAAAGAAGTCACTATCAATTGTGATATATTATTATGACTTAAGTCCAGCAATTTAATATTCAATTTTGTGTTTATGTCATTGTTATAAACATTGTTTATATAATTCATATGTAGATCTAACCATTCCAAGGATTTAGGAAAACTTTCAAAGTCGAAAGTAGAAATTTTATTAGCAGACATATTTAGCCATACTAAACTATTTAACGAAGAAAATATTCCGTCAAAGTTTGTAATTTCATTTCCATCCATGCGTAATAACTTCAAATTAACGTTTTTACGAAAACATCCAGCAGCGACAAGTTTTATTTTATTAGAAGCTAAGTTAAGAACCTGTAACTGAGGCAAATGTTCAAAAGTGTTCTCATTTAAATAGGTAACTTTATTATCTACAAGACGCAAACCAAAAAGTTCCGAAAGACCGCGAAAGTTTTCCCGGCTCAAATGGGTTATATTATTATTTCCTATGTCCAACGATCTTAGGGACCGTAATTTGCGAATCGAAAGAGGTATTGATGATAAGACATTGTCATTCAAACTAAGGTCTTCTATTGTAGTCATATTGTCAAATGCGTTCTCATCAATATGCTTTATTTGATTATTATCTAAAAATAATTCGTGCAATACGTGTAACTCGGAAAATATATGGGTGTGAATATGTGTTATTTTATTATTTGATAGAGTAAGAGAATGCAAATTTCTTAATTCTTCAAAAGCACGTTCTTCGATGAATGTTATGTCATTATATTCTAAATTTAATTTTTGTAAACTATATAGGTCTTGAAACATATAGCGATCTATTCTAGTTAGTTTGTTATACGAAATATTTAATATTACCATTCGAACTAAACCTATAAATGTCTCCTTATTTATCCACTGACTAGTCAATTCGTTGTGGGAAAAATCAAATATTTGAAGTTGGTCTAATCCGCGAAATAGTCCCGGCGGTAAAACTTTTATAGTATTATTACTCAAAAATATTTCTTTTAAAAATTTTGTGTCAGAAAAAATATCTTGTGGTATATTGTTGATATAATTACTCGACAGATTCAATATTTGCAAACTTATAAGACCTTCAAAGGCACCGTCCTCGAGAGTGGATATTGCATTATTTTGCAAAAACAATTTCGTCAAAGACCGTAGCTTTGATAAACTATTTTCTGTAATAACTATTAAATCATTGTACGACATATCAAGAACTTCTAAAGCTAAATTACAGCTTTTCACACTTAAATTTTGCTCTTGTGAGGAATCAGCAAAACCTATCGTCTTAATATTTTGTAAATGATTGTTTGTTATATTTAATTTTTTTAAACTGTACAATGAACAGAAAGTATTCGTTTTCATACTCCAAATATTATTGTCACTTAAATCTAATTCAATTAACTCACTTAAACCCATGAAAGCGAGTTCATGTAAGTCCATAGTCATTGCAGACCATTCACTGTTATGCGTTGTTACGTGGAGAGATTTTAGATCTTTGAAATTTTCAAAGGCCCGAGGTGGAATCTGCCGTATCTTGCATTTATCAATGACAAGGTCTTTGAGCTTGCCTAGATTTGAATGTTTTCGTGAGGTCTCTTGTGTCTGAGCTGCAAGTGTACTCTCAAAGAACAGAATTTCACTACATTGGACGTGCAAGGAAATTACATCGTCAAAGTGTGTTCGGCTGATGTTCTGTAGTAGATTATCTAGACTACTTATTGTTCTTATTTTGCAAAATAATTCTGTATCTTCTGACGTCTCCGATTGAGACGTTCTGTAGGCGCACTCGTGCGGCATATCGCTAGCGGTGCTACTTTGCACGGCATAATAGTAAAGAAGCACATACACTAAGAAATTATAGATATTTCGAGGAAGTCTATTCACAAAAGTTTTTTTTATTACCATTTTATCGTATCCGAAATGCGGTGAGACATTGAGTTTGGTGCCATTTATAATTTGGCAAATCTGATCACGTCATAAATATTCACGCGGTAGAATCGACATCGCGAGTCGCGTGGCATGTCAACGATTGCCAAAACAGCCACATGCATGTATCGCGAACGGCAGCTGCCCACCGACTGAGCGGCGCTCAGTTGCTCCGCCCCACGACGCCCGACGCCCCGCCACCCGTACGGCGTCTAAAGAAACTTCATCTCATAGAAAACGCAATTATATACATTACTAAGGGTCCATAAACCTTCAAATCGTTCCTCCTTTGTTCATAGTTTGATTATTTATCAGACCTGTAGCATGATATAAGAATTTTAACCGTCTGTATTAAGGGAACGAAATTTATTATTTAAATTTCATATAAAAGTTAACACTTTTTTCTCTGACAAGTTTTTTGTTTAGTGTCATAGAAGTTATAAATTAGTGTATGATATCACAAATTAGTTCTCATTTAATTTTACTCACTACTAAAATAATATAAATATTTCGAGATTTATGTATGATTTGTAATATAAGTATACTTACATATATTTCCCTCCGTAATGTGAAAAATATTCAAGACGAAGCTTTTCTCTTAAAAACATAATTCTCGCAGTTTTTAAGGGCCTAATATTGGTATATTTCGAACACCTGTTGTGCTAAGAAACTTCGCGAAACTTTCTACTTCGTGTGAAAATGAGATAAAAGCCTCGGAAAATAGTTTTCTGGGACACCACATGCTTCTCAAGCTAACACGTTCAGTTTAGGAATACGTTGAAGATTCTCGAAGTATTTTAAGTACAAGATATTGAGTTTTATGACTTAATAATTTACATAATAATAGTAATTTTGATTTTATATGCACAGTTTGAGACAGTTTTATTAATAAATAATGTTAAAAGGAATAAAACTTTGTAAATCGACAAATTCATACGATTAGTGTTACTACTTATATCAAATATAAACATATAACTCAATATTCAAAAAGACAAAAAATTTGAACAAAAACATAACATTCCGTTTTCCTCCTTGGTATTTTGATATAAGATAAATTGAGTTGTCACTAACAAACATTACATCAAAATGTTCCAATACACATTTTATTCATATCATATTTATTCAGATGTTTTGCTTTAAGTTGGGTTTTTTAAGTAAAATAAATAAAGAAAAATTATACAACATTCAAACCTTTTTTTCCAACCCCAATTGCTATAAATTTGAACTGCCACATTTTTATAATTTAATTGAATTTAGGGAAGTCAATGTGGCTTAACTATGCATAAAAGCGTTAACTAAGGTAAAAATTAACACTAAATAAGTTAAATTTCGATCAAAATAAATCAATAGAATTTTTTTTTGTGAAATTTAAAGATATTTTTCCCTTTTCATATCTCGTTCAATAATAATTATATCACGAAAAGTAAAAACAACTTAAAAACTTTTTCGGTTGCAATAAATGTAGGAGAAATAAAATAAATATCTAAAAGCAAAATCATAAAAATAAATGCAGAAGAATTTAAATCTTTCCTTTTCGATGTTATTTGGAAACTAAGTATTTAGTTTTTGAAGATCTAGGCAAAAAAGAAATTATACTGGAAAATTTTGACGATATCAAATGTGAGGAACCCGGCTCCTGAACGATAAATCCATGGAATGCTGAGAAGTTAGATTCGTCTCTTGAGATGATAATCTAATACTGATGCAATACCTGGTTTTGATTAGAAATATTGTATCTGTGATAGTTTAATGCCTACATAAAGCTTGTTGTCTCTATTACTGTGACGAGCATATCCATCCGTTCTGAGGCTTTGTACTTTGTATAACTAAGAGACAAATTGTTGCACCATATACCTAAGATAGCTATTATTATTATTAGTATCATATTGCTTGTAATTGATTATCCAACGTAACTATATTAACTCATCCTCACCTTAAATATATTTAAAAAAGAGCTATTTAAAACATTTGGCTTATAAATTTAATTACTATGTTTACATTTTATGTTTATCAACCATTTTATATGATAGAAAATAGATTTTTAGCACTGCCTAAAATATATACCATAAAATAAAATTCGACGATCGATGTATATTATCTTGTCATTAACGTTGTTGTAACTTTTCCACAAGCAATGTTCTAACTATGCTAACACTAAGAATAACAAGCGCCATGAGACATAAAGCGTTTGCTCAACATAATTCACAGTCTCACATAAAAGTTTCACATTGTCATTGCAGCGTCAAAAATTAGGTCAGTCATTCACCTGAGTACGTAAGAAATCCGTATTTTTATGATAATGTAGTGAGGCGTTATTATATATATTATTGATGACATGTACTGAAGAATCTCCAAATTATATGAGAGCATCCATTTTTATCAACGGTATAAGCCGCAACAGCCTTAAATTTCGCTTCTACGGCTCGTGTCACACCCTACTCAAGATGTTCACAAACAATATGCATTTTTAAATAGAACGTCGTTTTACGCTACACGAGAAATGTGCTTTCTTTCTCTTTAAAAAGAGAAAAGTTCTTTCTTTTACATTATCTTTACATGATTTTATGATAGAATTTTTTGTGCCTTTATAAAGGTAAACGCTAAAACTTTGGATTTCATATTCTGTGTTTATTAATTCAGTTCTTGTACCAAACATAAAAATGTTGACGAGGTTGTTCATTTTGTCTCTACATGTTCTTTACGAAAAATAAATAACATATTTTCTTATTTCATTTTATGAAAACACATAAATAGTAAACCGTATTTGTAATTCAATTCAAACGTGTCATAGAAATTAACGACATGATATTTTTGGGGGGATCGTAAATAATTTCAGTGGGAACTAAGACATTCCCTTTGTTTACACAATCATTTCATCAGAGTGAAAAATTAAATCGTCTGTCAGAAACGTAGCCGAGATGACAGTATTACGTACGAGCATCTATTCTTATGCCAATAGAACTTTGCTGCTTACTACTTGTACACGAGTCCCTAATGACTATAGCATTAAGATCTTTTTTGCAATGCTTTTACTTTTAAACGTAAAGGTATAAAGTTATTCATAGTAAAATAAACATATTGTAAATTAGTGTTAGAAGCATTGAGTACGATTAACATATAGAAGAGAGACGGGTGGAATCCGACAAGTCATTAGTCATGTTCATGCGATAATCTTCGAATAACAACATATGTTATTCCTGTATAGTTTGTCTTACATGAGATGTGTGTTATTTTAAATTTTGAAACCCCTCGTTGTCATATAACGATAGTTTTAATTTTTAATTATGTATTAAGTTAATTCAAGGTAAGAGAAAACATCTTCCTCAATCAATCAATAAAGGATAAGATAATACTCTAAGTTAATTAAACAAGAAATTTGCATCGGTAATTGAACAAACACTAAACACAATTTTAAAATTATAACCAACAAAATTATTAGGTATAGTAAACATGTTTTTATCTTCCACGATAGATATTTTTAGGACCGAAACTTCACTTGTATTACAAATATTTGAACAACGCTTAGATTTATAAAATCCAATTATTTTTCACAAACTATTGAAACGAATTTCTCTAACAAGTTATTCAAACACGCTATTTAAAATTTTAGAAAAAAAATCTAGATTGTTTGTTAATTTAACTGGTACACGGATTTTAGGTATAGAAATAAACTTTTATCATTGCTATGATTTATTTCTACGAATCTAGTTATTTTTAGTACCTATGTGTTCTAAAAGTGCAACATTTTGAGAAATATAATATTAAAAATTTAATTTTATAAGGGTAAGAGTTTTGAGAATCCTAGCTCAAAATGAATGAGAAAGTTGTTTTAATTACGTAATATGATCTATTATGTTAGAAATTTTAGAAATAAACGGTAGAAAACTATAATAATTTTTATTTGAGCTTATAAATTGTAATAAATCAAAGAGATTTTCATATTCGACGTAAATTTTAGATGAAATTTCAGAATCCCAATAACGGCTTGCAGGTAGACCAAATAAATGTTGAAAATTTTGTTATAGATTTATCATTTGAAAATCATTTATCTAAAAAATATGAAACGATTTTCACTACCTTGAGATATATTTTTCTAGTAAAATTATTCTGCTTTTAACTAGTAACAAATTTTAAGAGCTTAGCCTGGCGTAAATAGTTCCGTATGCTGGTTACGATAAAAGTTGCTTTTGACAAACGAGGACCTAAGACGCAATAGGGAAGCCACAAAACTCCGGATAAGCCTCTAGTGGAGCTGCAACACAATTTACCTAGGCTCTGCTTGAAACGTATCAACGAGTTTAAGAAGATCCTATCAATTTTTTATTTGAAAATGCTGCATTAAAAATATACTCAGTAAAATTAACATGAATTTTCATGATTTGGCGCTATTCAAAAGTAAAGTTGTTTACATATTGCACTTGTATTTCTCTGTAGTATTTTTGAATGATTTCAAAAATAAAAGAATCTGTCTATATACGGATACATATTTTTTTTCTACACAACTGTTGGTTATGGAAATAAAATTGATAATTGTTATGCATTTTGCTACAGTCCTCAAATGTACAATAATTTTTAAACAATTATTTCATATAAAAGATTTTTTATTTTCAAACCTAATACGTTTAGGAGCAACTTTTTTCTATGTTTAAAAATTATGTCTTACTAAACAGTACCTACATAAAAACTGGATATCAATATTTGATATAAAAATATTACCACGAAGTTAAGGTGAGAATTGGTTTGATAAACATTTTATAGCCACAATATTTCTATTTCCGTTGACATGTAACTTCGTTAATTTTTTACTTGAAATCAAACACCTTTTAATAACGCTATAAAATTGAGCATTAAATTAAAAAAAATCTTAACCATTCCTTATGAGCTTCCATATTGTTGCGTTATCTGATCATTCAGTTTTATTTTTATGGGTTTATAAAACCCTGTCTGCATCTAAATAGCGGTAAGCTATAAAAAGGCCA